GTAGAATCTTCCCAGAGTGTCCATTTTGCATATAAAAGGAACAGTTCAAGTTTCCAGATGACCTATAAATTAACAGTGGGTAGACCTGAGGAAGGGACTAGACTGTTTAGAAACTTTAGCCATCTTTAAAGTGCAATGCTAGCAACATAGAAAATCTTTAACATGGTGGCAGTGTTTTTTTGGTAGTCGACCCTAGCCCACTTACCCCACTTCCCTGTCCTTTTGCTTAATCTATGGAAGTTGAAGGGGCTATTCTTGCTGGTCAAGGAAACTTCATAGAACTGCTGATCATATGACATGGCATAAAGACCAATCAAGAACAGGGTCAGCTCTGCTACTCATTGCACAAACAGAATGGGAGTTTCTGGTCAGTCTTTCAATCTCTGACGCTGGTATGTGGGAAAAAGAAACACCTCAGACAAGGTCGTGACAGCATATTTGAAGGAAAGCAGAAAGGAAAGATTCATTGTGACAACACTGAATTCTAAAGGAAGGTAAAAGGAAGGCATTCTACATGCTCTCCCCCTTTTCAAAAAATTTAATCTTTTCTATAAAACCATGCTACTGCAACACACCTTTCAGATATGTTTATGAAAAGCTCTCTAGGCTTTGTGACTGCAGTAATAATCTTTGAAACAGACTAACTGTAACAGTCAGTCTTCTCATTGGTAGCAAAGGAATATTGGCTTTCAGGTGTCAAAATTGTTCAACTTAGTAACTGAAAACCAGAAGCCCTTAATCCCTTAAAAGCCTGTATCCCTTTTAAAATGAACATTATTAGTTGTTTCATCGTTTACCATTTTAACAGAAATATACAGTAAATTCAACAAATTGCCAAAACCACAAAGCTTTCCCTAATGGAACTATCTCAGATTCCAGCTTCCATTCTGGCAGTTGCTTTAAAGTGGTTTTGCATTGTTAGGACAACATTGCACAGAAATTCAAAAGTTAGGATTATGATGTGTTGGTGGTTTTTGTGTGATTTTAAAAAGAAATGGATGCCGCACTTAATAAACTGTTTATTTTTATATACAATACATATAATACATTACTTCAAACCCCTTTATTAATTTAGTGGCAGGAACTACTCTGCCATGTCATAGTTATAAGAACTTAGTTACTGAACTTATCTCCAGTTTGCGAAAGACTAATTCAGTACTTGGAACACAACACTGCTAGCTCCAGAAGGCCACCATACAAAAGGGCAAGAGGAAAACTGAATCCACAGATCAGTTTATATCCCTGGAGGCTGCTTCCAATGATAATGTGAAGGCCCTGTTCTGTTTCAAAAAGCAAGAAGTAGAAACCTCCCCCAAAAGTGAATTTAGATTTTCAAATAGCCATTTTTGTCTTACTGTGGTTTTTAGTCACTGAATTTCTTTGCTAGATAATGCTATCCTGTTATCACAGAACTAAATGGTTGACTTTTTGCTGTTAGCTTTTAGCACAATTTTAAGTTTATGTACGGTCTGCAAATTGGCTAGATTTGAGATATTACTCAAAAATCTGTGCTTAACATACTGGCTTTTCAGACTATGCGTCATTTTCCATACATAATACCTTTATGGTGAAGCTGAAAACAAGAAGTGTTACATCACAATTTTATGTGGTTGGAGCAGAAGAGGAAGTTACTGAGACAAGCAAAACACATTTCAACGAGATGCCATAAATAATTTCTGAAGTAAATCTAGTGTTCACAGAAAGTACCTCATTGGCCTCTGCAACTTCATCAACTCAAACATGAACTATTCTGAGTAGTACTGCCAGTGCTCTTGCACAGAGCACAGACCTACCAGTGGATTGCAGTATTTGTGGGAGCAGGAGATGCTTACTGCATGAAAGAGTCAAATCAGAGGACTCTTTCAACTGTGAGAAATAAGGGTGAGTTTAATTTGCTAGGCAGTTTCACAGAGGCTACAAAATCTTTTGCTGTTTTCGGCATTTACAAGAAGCATCAACATGCAGGTATGTATATAACTGCCTGTAACACACAGAGAATATATAAAAAGGTGTATATGTGTGTGCACATATATATATGTATCTATATCTATCAAACACGCAAAATACCCAGTAGAGTAGAACAGACAGTTTGCCTGTTTACTAGACAATGAGCAAGGCAAACTTAAAATTTCTTCTTCCTCCTATACAAAAATAAGCGTGCTTTTTAAAAATTTCCATATAAAACAGCCTGTAGCTATTTGGAACCTGGAAGATCTCAGCAGAACTAAAAGTGATTGAGCTCTCTTTAGAATCACAATCTCTAGACTTTGTTTTTCTCCAGTCCTTTAATACATTACAGCAAGTCTTCAGCAGTTACCAGCTGCAAAAGCAGCCAGTTCCCTCAAGCTGAAACTTGAGATGCTATGAAGGTATGGTATGAAGGACTGGACAGATCTCGTGCTCGCTAATATTAAATTCCATCCAAATGCGTGTTAGACAATGTAAAATCATTATCTGAAAATAAATGAAAACATTCCCCTAACAAAACAATCAAATTCCAAAATGTATACATGTATGCACCTCTATTATGTCCCAAAGAAAAGCACTGGTTCTATCGGCAATCATAGAATAGTTAGGGTTAAGATCATCTAGTTCCAACCCCACTGCCATGGGCAGGGACACCTCACACTAAACCATGCCACCCAAGGCTCTGTCCAACCTTGCCTTGAACACCATCAGGGATGGAACATTCACAGCTTCCTTGGGCAACCCATTCCAGTGCCTCACCACCCTTATAGTAAAGGACTTCTTCCACATATTCAATCTAAACTTCCCCTGTTTAAGTTTGCACCCATTACCCCATGTCCTATCACTACAGTCCCTAATGAAAACATAAGGCTTTCAGGAGAATGCAAACTCTTACAAGTTACAACAGTAAGTACCGACTTGTGTATGTGTGTCTGTCTCTCTACCACAGTTGTCTTTAGGATTAAGAGTACAATTCAGTTTGTCAAGTGAGATGACTTTTTGTTTCCTGTTAACGTGCTTCAGTGTAATGTGTACATTTGTATTTAATTTTTTTAATGCCTTTCTAGTAAACTGTTGCAAATACAGTGAATAAATATGTTTTTGGTTGTAAAAAACTGTGGGTGTGAGAAAATAAGCTTAGAAAAAGTAACACCCAGATTTGGAAATTTGGCTTCCTCTGCACATGCTCAAATAGCTACACAGAGCTCATAGAGAAAAAATAAAGTGGTGACACTGAGCTGACAGGCAGTCAGAATTTAATGTGAGCAAGGGGACTGCTTTTGCCATGACTCACAGTTTGGCCAATTCCAAAATGGAAATGGGCTCCTCCTGTAAATGATCCTGAAGATTGTTTTAAAGGATCATCAAATTTTAAAATAATAACTATTAATGTTGCAATGCTCCATGTAGAAATTACTCTTCTTGTCCTCTGAAAAACACTCCAGATTTTGTTTTGCAGGTTAAGTGTTACGAACTGCAATGACAAATCCCTGAATATTTTGCGTATTGACCTGCCAGCAAGCTGTCTTTATCATCAAGTGATGCTCTTTAGAACTTGAAAGCTCCTAAGGAAACACTTTAGTAATACATTAATGGTGGTGTATTTTGGGTCCTATGGTACCCCAGCTAAGACTGAGCTACACCCAAGTGAATCAAAATTACAATCTTTTCAATTGAACAGGAGCTACATTTTGCTGTCTAGAAGCTATCTAGACAGCTCACACCTCTTTGTGCCTAATTCTAAGTAGCTCTCGTGAGAAATTCTGAAGAAATCTCTCTAAGGTTTTTTCAGAAGTTTCTCTGTGCATTTACATGGGAAATATCATAGATCTATTTACATAAAATCCAACATTTGAATAAATATGATTTTGTTATGCAAATTGGCAAAACTCAAGGTGTAATCAGATTCTTTGCTATCCCACTGGCCAGATCAAGCCATATGCTGCTACAGGAATGTCTGTTAAGAGTGGACTGAAATGACAGAATTTATTAGCATGCAGTTAACATCCTTGTGACAGAAAACCCAAATACTTTATCTTTGCCTTTGGTACTGTTTGAGTGTGAAAGAAGGGAGTCAGGCCATTTGGCTTTGGAGGAAAATGAGCATGACCCAAGTTGCACAGCTCTTCGCTACTGCTGGACTTGTTAAAGGAAGGTTACACACCAGTATTTGAGAAGCAAACAATTCTAACAATAGCAGAGGCTCTGCATATAAGAAGCAACAGCTTTGGAATATATTATTTCACCAGCCTTCTCAATGCTGCTGCAATAGAGCCCATCTTTGTTACAGCAAGAAAAAGGGAGTATTTACTGTAAAAGTCAGGGCTCTTAAAAGTGTCTTGCAAGTGACAGTCTGTGAGATCAGCTGTACTGCATCTGTCCAAGAAAGTACGGAAAGTTAAAGGCAGACAGAGTAAAAAGCTACTTACCTCCAGTTATATGTTTGTTCCTTGACTGATCTCAGTACCTGCCGCATCATCTGCAACATTCCAGCTGCCAACTTTTCTCACTATCCCTAGATGAATGCTTCGAACAGTAAGAAATGAGAGTAGTAGCTCTTGCTCTTCTGACTCTTCATCTACTACTGCTTCAGCAATATAAGGCCTTTCAGTGGGAAACTGAATCCAATGAAGATGATCTAGATTTTAGCATTTAAAATTCTTAAATATAGCAAAAGACTTTTCAGTCCTGCTGGAAAATGTTGTATATGAGTCAGGGGCTGACATTAGATAAAATACAAATTGTTAGCAGTGAGTGCAAAGAAGCACTTGCTGTTTGGGGACTTTCTTTTAAGAAAAAAATCTGTACATGGCCCTGAAATGCTGTGAATCACTGGTTTATCCTTTCCTTAAGGATAATGGGAAATGCCAGCAGCTCTGCATTGCCTTTGTGCTTGTAAGGCTTGCAGCTTTGAAACAACTGTAATTAAACCAAATGTTTCATCTGGCTGTGATACAGCAGGGAAAAAAAACACTAACATCAATGTCTGAGCAAAAGTCATGGTACTCCTGTGCAAATATGCCCTGATAAAAGTTAGTAAGATTTTGCTGTGAAACAGATTCTCACTGAAGATCAGGCTTCTGAGCACTCTGCTGGTACAAAACTACTGAACAATGCAAATAGTCCACACAATTCAGGTTCATACAATCACTTAAATGTAGACATACACATGTAATACTAGTAACTGTCACCTGAATGAACCAGAGGGAAGTGTACTGTTAACGACAAAACCTTTTTTTTATTATTAACTTTTCTCACCCAGTGAGTTTTAGAAGCTACTTTAAGTACATAGTGTATTACATTTCCTTCCAATTGGATTAAATCTAGATATCTGACCAGATGGCTCAGCACTATTAGAAAACCCTTGAACAGCAGTGTTGTTTTCACTTAGTATTTTACACACATGAACTGCTGCACTTGTAAAGCAAAAGATAAAGAACAAAATAATTACCTTCTATTTCATTCTTTTACAAAGAAAAAGATATTCTTGCAATGAACATGTATGCTTTAGCTGATGATCTACTTAAATCTGTAAATACATTGTAAAGATTCTTGTTGGGAAATTCAGTTTCCTAAAGTGCTGCCTTTGACAGATTTTATGGAGGAGCTGCCACTCAAGAGGTCTGGAACATGGGGAAAAGAAGACAACAAATAGTTGCGCCTATGCTATTTTTCCTCACTGGAGAAGGAAGAATGAGATGCCTCTGAGTTATACATGCCTTCCTCCAAGGGAGATTACGAGTCTTTTCATTAAGTTAACATGGCATATACGGACTCCTTAAATACTTTTACTTAGTATCTCTCTCATTGTAGGTTTTATTTTCATTTGTTTTCAAGGTACTTGTATCACAAAGAGTTCAGGGACTCTGTAACCATCAAGATTATGTAAAACAGCAGCACGGGAAGAGTTTTCCACATAAAAGCACACAGCCAGTTCTAAATGAAAACTGTGAGAATAAATTAAATATCCTTCCAACTTCTAAAGGCATGCTTATCAAATACAGAGAATTCCTGAAGGTACATTTTCCCTCAGATTATGAATAGACTTTTGAGAATTACATGGCAAAAGCTAGGACTATTATAGAGGGCACTGTGGGTAAAGCTCACTGTTTTTCTTGGTTTTACCCTAGCTCCCGTAATTGATCAAGTCTCGATAACAATTCTCGTCCCTTACGTCCTGGGCTTAAACCACGAGACCATACTTCCTATCAATAAAGTGTATTACTTTGTAAGAAAGTGTTTGTGAAAAAGACTTCTGGAAAGGAAGCAATAGCCAAACAAAAACATTTACCTTTAAAGAGACAAAAGACATCCTTTCTGTAAGCAAAGCAATGAATCCCTTCTCTTTCTTCCTGTATACCCTAACTGCTGTGTTCTGACCACGACTACCAAAATCCTTCGGTGAAAGGTTTAGTACCACAACTATGTCTTCAAAAGTTTGCAACCGACAGTGCTCTCAGTAGCTACAGAAACCCCTTAAAAAAAAAGGAAAAAAGAAGTTACACCAAGCAAAGAGTAAGGATTCATTGTAAGGTTATACACAGGAAGAACAGAAGTTGTTACGAATGTATTTACACAACTGTTAAAGTACACAAATACAGTGGTAGAACAAATGAAGTATTCCCAGATACTGGTTTCCAATACACAGGTTTATATAGACAGTCTATTTTCTTCATGATGAAATTTAACTATTACGAAGGACAAAAAACTGCCCACAAGTGAGTACAGTTCTAGAAGTCTGCAGTCAACTTTTAAGTATAGTACAGCAATCTAATGTTCTAGATACAGAGAGAATAAAGAGGCTGTATTTGTAAGTCCCTCTAACGGTACATTATAGACCACAGATATTTACAAAGAAAGCACAGTGAAGTGTAAAACTGTCCAAATGGTACTGCACATGCCTAGAATATTGAAGTTTGTAAAAACTGAGGAAATATCTTACGCAAACTTATCATGGATCAAACTTTTAAGCTTTTCCATTATACCCTCCCCAAACAGGTTTCCTGAGTCACACTCGGAATACACGAGTAGCTGATGTTACTAATACTTAACGTGGACTTTTGAGAGGGGCAGAAAAGAATTTGTAAACACCAAAACAATGAAAACTAGTAGTCATAAAATTTGAAGACCAACAGGCCTTACAAAAAAATATTTTCATTTGCTTTGGTTTTATTTGGTTTTGGGGTTTGTTTCCCCCTTCCTGCTCCCCTTCAAAATACCTTAGCTGTTCAAACAAAAGCTCCATATATACTTTCATTTCCAACCTGGAACTTCTCATTACTTCAGTCGCAGTCATATAAACAGTACTTCTGATACTGTTTCAAGTTCTTTGAGGACAGAATACCTACTTTCATGAGACGGTTTCAGGTGTATTTTATGAGACCATTTACAGCAACGAACAGTATGAATAATCTCCCACATTCCATACGCAACAGGCGCTAACAACACCTGCAACAGTTTTATTACCTAAGCATCTTGAATCATTCATTCCTAGCTAATGATTCGGCGTATACTCAGGCTGAATACAGTTGATAATTAAATATGGCATGCATCTGAATTACAAAAATTCTCAGGATTTCACAGCAAGAATGGTTTGCTTTGTTCGTTTGCTTTTTGAAACTAATTTATCTTGAGTCTTAGCATGAAACAGAAGGCCTGAAACTATTTATTTATTTTTAAAGATGTAGATGAAGAATGAAAAGTGCAAGTTTACTGAAGACTCAGTATCAACATTTATTTTTGACTTGCAATACCCTCCAAGCTAACCAGCCTGAGTGTAGGAAGCAAAATTCACAAGTAAAACCAAGTCTGAAACTATCCATTTACCCTAAATAAGCAGAGACACTGGACAAGCTTTCAAATTCTAAATCCCTCAAATGCCAGTTTTTCACTTAGCCCTTCATATACTGTAAAAAAACCCAACCAACCAACCAAAAACCCAACAAAACAACCCCCAACGCTCCCCCCCCCCCAAAAAAAAACCCTGCCATTATTACTATCTCTACTATATTTAGACTCTTCTGCAGGGTACTTAGTTCTCTTTTATGAAAAGGAAAGAATACTTAAAAATTCCTTTGGGTAACATGAAAGTTAAATGTTAAGTGTGAATGAAGACAGCAAATTGCAAAGTAAAATTCTAACAGTTTTTAAGTTTTCATGAGATAACTTTCTTAGTCAGAATGGGACCACAGAAACAAGCAAACAGTTTAAATAAAGTCACATAGTTCTGATTCATCTACAAGTTCCCTGCCAGACTAATTTTTTTTTTAAACAAATTTCAAGTCATCTTTAATTTAGGTTTGTTTATATTCTACATCTTTAAATCAGACAAAAGCAAGGAGTTCTTTACAGAGAATTAAGCCAATAATTTTAGCAAAATCATACAAAAAACCCTTTTAAACCAAGCAAAAGATTTATAGTTACAGTAGAATAATACAAAGGGGATAAAGTCTGCCGCCTGTGGAGGGAAAACTGAAATGGCCATCTGATAACAGGCAGTCAACTTTGTAAACCATCTTTCTTTTCCAGCCCTGTTACCACAGGGTTCTCTTAAGGTCATTGGGTTTCTGGCAAAAGCGTCCTGCAATGACAGCTGCTGGAGCCTGTCTATGTTCCTCCAAGTGCCTTTTAAATCACATGGAGAACTCCAATTGTAATGTTTCCACTCTAGTTTAGGGTATTTTTGTTAGTAAAGCCATTGGTAACATAGGAGATCAGCCATGCATTGTCTGCCCTCCATGGCAAAATTAATTTTCATCGGTGCACAGCAGACTGGAGAACACTGGTAGTTACCCGAGCAGGAATCTACCAAAGCCAAAAAACAAGACAACATCAGCACATATCCTCCCAGTTAACAAATAAGTGGTTCTCAGTGTACTTTAAAATAATTAATTGCCAAAAGTAAGCACATAAATTTAAAATACAATGAGCTACACAATGTTTCACACCCACCACAGCTACATGAAGTTCCCTGCACTTCCATCCTTTATTGGAAGTTAACATGGAAAATTCATCTTTCCAGACAGAAGGTACATTTTGAAGAAACGTAAACAGCATAAATGTGCACAGAAGAAAGAACAAACCATATGAAAACACTACCAATGAGTAAAACAGACTCAGTGAATAACTCAGTTTTAGGAGGAAAAAATTCCAGTAAAACAAAACAAAAATCAAAAACCCAACAAAACAAAACAAAAAAATCTCCACCATAAAACCCAAAACACACAAAACCCCCAACTTCAAAGATTTTCAATGGCTTTTCTTTTTTCATGGGACATTGTGTTAAAAGACACTTCATTAATTTCCATAATTTGACCTATTTTAGCAACAGTGTAACATTACTGGAAAGATACTTTCACTGCGAAAGTGAAAACCAACCATACATTGCTGCAATTTAAGAAGCCAAAAACATCTCAGTAGCCAAACCAGTATTCAGCATTAATTTCAGTTACAAACAGCTGCAAACAGTAAGACATACAGTAAAGGACAACTAGTGCAGACACAACCCTGAGCAGACTGGAATCCACACACAAGTTTTCCAACGCAAAGCTTTAGATTTGCCTTTTTTATTTTTTCCCTTTTAATTTTTGACTAAGGTCTGATAATGTGACTTTCAATTGTGAAGCTGCCATTTACAGTTGGATCTTTTTAATGTTACAAACTGTTTACGAAGCAGCTTGTCCACAGTCAGCCAAGCACACAAAGCAGGAGGAAAAATACTGAAGACGAATAGCAGGATTCTTCACCAGCTAGAGATACAGGATTAGTGCAAGCTTTATAGAGAAAGTGAGGCAGCAGACAGTTATAAAACAGAATTTATTAAGAAACAGAAAAATCTCAGCCTTTTAATGAGAAGCAAAGCAACATAGCTCCTGAAATACTTAAGAAAGCATCCTTCAACCATTAAGGTTCAGATTCCAACTGAAACTTGCTATTTCCTTGATGAAACCTGTTATAGCCAAAAGCAGAGCAGACTAAAAAGCCAAAGGCTGCACAGAGAAAGGCAGAAACTTCTACTGCACTGACAAGTGGAAAGGAGTTTTAAATATCCAAATACAAGTCTGTCTACCTTTGAGATGTTCATGTTCAAACCACTCTTACTAGTATGTGAACGTTTTAAAAATACAAATCTGAGTATTTTTTAAATGACAGCTCATAAGGAATAGAGAATATAAAACAGTGAAAAGTGGGTATGTCTGCAGTAGAACATTTTATTCCTGACAAAACAGAGCCTCATTTGGGTAACAGAGTTACTTAAGTCTTCATGTAAGTATTTTGGTTTTATTGTTTTGAAGCAGATCTGTTTTTGAATAGATGAAATATTGCTGCATGAACATTCCTGGAAAGACGTAATTTTCAAACAGCAAAACTTTAGACCCAGTTAATTTATTTTATTGTTCCTGCTTGAACAATTTTAGGGACTTTGTAAGTCACTATTTTTGTCAATTCTGCCAAAAAGTCCAAGTGGAACAGCAGCAATAATTCAACTTTTGGAAAGACATTTACTTTTAAGTTAGAGAAAAACCAGTGCTCCATCAAGCATCTGACCAGAAGGCACACGTTCAACTATGAGAAAATGTGAGGAGAAGAAGAGGCAAAGTTGGATGTTTCCAACTTTTTTTTTTTCTCCCCCACCCATCCAAAATTTTGGTGTCTAATGAGAAGCACTCACCCAGTGCTGCCTTCCAACGAAAGGAGACGAGCAGCTACTTGCCATGGTGTTCGAAAGCAATGCTATTCTGAGGTAGGGGAAAAGACAGCAATTTGTAACAGTTCCACTGCTCCAATATATAAAGATGTCTAACAAATAACCAACCTGAACTTGCAGTAGCAAATGTAATGTTTTTAGAAGCTCTGATTTCAGACTTCTGTAAGTGATTTCTATCATATTAAGAGACAAACAAAAGGAACAAATTATTATTCTTCAAAGAAAGCTGACAGAAGAACAACAGAGAGTAAGATGCCTATTAAGATGGATATATGGAGAAAGATTTGCTCATGAGGAGATGGAAGATGCAGAGGCCTTAGAAGCGTGCTGCTTCTTCCCCAGGGAAGCAGCACAACACTTAAGTTGTTCTATGCCAGTGTTGGCTACAGTCTTCTAAAAACTTCTCCTGTCAAGAAGACTTAATCAAATACTTCTTCGTGCAGCATCCCCATCTTTTCTTCTAACTATGGACAGAATACTTCTATTACCAGTAGGAACTATGCACAGATTTTATCAGTGCTTTTGAGATGCAGTCTATGCAATATGGACCAACAGAACTGATACAAAGCAGTGTTTACTGGAATACTCATGACCTCCTTTACCACATTTCTTAATGCTTAAAGACTTACTATGTAAAAGAGAATTAGTGAACAATCCACTCGAACAGCTTAAGAGCAGAAGGATCTTTTAGCAGCAGGTATGATTTTCAGATCAGCACAGATGACAACTCTTCACTACACAGAAACTTGTTATTTGGGCTCGCTTTAGACCTGAATATGACACCTAGAAATGAATCCAGTTTTAATGCAAAGACAGAGATGATCTCCTTTTAGAAGCTGTTTCTGTGGCAACGGTCTTCAACTGGACCTCTGATTCATCTTTCTTTAAATATGAGTGGTTTTAATTTTAAGCAATAGGTTCTTCATGTTTACTGCATAAATGTCAGCTCACATTAAAATCATTCTCTAAAATACTACACCAACTAACTCAAGATTATCTCTTACCTTTCAGACAAACTGAAGACGCTGACTTGAAACTCTGTTCTTTACAATCTGTTTTCCTAAGCTCAATTTTTATTGCTCTTCCTTGTGTTACTTACGGTTTCCCAACAATTTAAGATAATGAGGACTGAACTAAGTATAATTTTCCAGAACCTGTCTCATTAATGACAAAATAACCTCCCAATTTCTGTTCATTACTGTATCATACATAGATTTAAAGATGAAATTATTCCCTGTCATCATGACATCACATTAACCTCTCCAACATTACACCTAAAGCCTCCTCAGTCACTGGTTACCACAGACACAGTTTACATGTATAAGACAAGGGGCTCCACTCCATCCTAATTAGGTTTTGGAGTAATGTGAACCAGAATGTATTTTATTTGAAGAGGCTTTACCTGACTGCTCAACTCTCACTAATGTTTCTCACTGTCAAACATCTCACAACTTGCAGGCTTTCAGATACTGCATCTGCTTCCACATCATCAAGAAAAATACTGAATAACGTGTGACAGAATTTCTGTAATTTCATTAAAAAAACGTAACACATTGACAAATCATTTTGTAGACATGCTAGCTGTTACTCCAATAAACATTTGTTACTTAGTGTTACAATGTGCTAGTCCTTCTAATGAGAATAATTTAGCTACTATGTGAACAATACCTTGGAAGTAGGGAATATACATGACACCTACTGTGCTGTCTTTACCAACCACTGTTTTTATGCAAGTGTTAAGTTCCTCTAAGAAGACGTATTTTCCGTAAGAGAGATTTTTTATATTGACTACATCCCCCACCTTAGTCTTCAGTTTCAGTCCGAACTGATGAGAACTCATTTTGTTAAAAATAAAGATAAGAATGTGGAGTAATCTTTAAGAACTCTACTTAGAGGTAAGCAGCTTCCATTATTTTGAGCAACCTCTGCACATTCCATTGCCTGGAGTTTAACAAGCAGTAGCCCTTCCTCTATATAACAAGAGGTGGACATTACAGATGCAGTGTTGCCTTATCAAACCAAGGCATTCAAATAAAACTAAATAAATAAAAAAAAAGAAACCGTGGTAGCATATTTATTTAAGAATTACAAAGGAAACTAACACACTTGGAATGGGCATGGATAGTTGTTCTTTACAGTTCCCCTCATCAGAAGTGTCATAGATGACTTTCTATATTCTTATACCTCACCAATCAAAATTTTCCTTAATAACCTTGCCATGCAAATTGGATATTTTAGGTTTTCCTGACTAAGAATAAGGTATAATCAGAAACCCACAGCTTTAATTGGTAACTTGGTTAATATCTACGGATATATTTAGATCATCGAAGAAATACTTTAATGTTATGAAGACAGTATTAGTGTAAACTACAAAAATTTGTAATTTGAGCCATCTTACCTACTACAGGTTAAGCAAGAACTGAGAAAATGAAAAGTGAATTATCTCCAGTGAGCTCAAGAGTAAGCGTTAAAAAGTCTAAGTAAATCTCCCTTGCTTTCCAAATCCAAGAAGCTCATGGAAAGCTGTTTAAATTATACTACAGTTGTACATTGTTACTCAGTCACCATGAGCGGAGACCAGCAGTGGATCACCACCTTGGTAAGAACTAAAGGAAGACAACACACGAGGAATAATTAGTTTTAACAAACTCAAAGAAGATCCCAACTAGGCTGCTACTGCCATTGCAGAGGAGTCAACAGAGTGATCCCATACTTGGAGCAGTGTTAAAAAGGGCAGGTATGGAAATATGCCAGTCTGTACTGGCTACCATTACCACTACTTTGTAGAAAGTATAGTAGTATATATGGTAGTATAATACATAGTAGTATAGAAATTATACTACTAAAAAAATATAGTCTAAAAGTAGTCTTTGAATATCTTGATAATCAAGATACAGATCTTGGATATGAGCATACCCATAATGATATATTATATCCACAGTAACCTATATATGATATGGATTGTAAGTAGTCTTTGAATATCTTGGATATCAAGATACATATCTTGATAAATATATGAAAATATATATCAAGATATATATCTAGATATCAAAGATATATCATATATTTATCAAGATATGTATCTTGATATCCAAGATATTCAAAGACTACTCACAATCCTACAGTTTCAGGATATTCCCATTTTACAAGTTAGGCAGAACCAAAACATATCTGCAAATTCACCTGGATTCCTCATACCTTATAATGTTTAGAGAAGTGTTACATGCACAATGGGCTGCATGTGAGTAATAAAGCAAAAAAAAGAAAGGTATACTCTCTCTTTACATAGTCAAGTAACATAACTGCACTTGTTATTCCCCCCGTTAATTATCTCACTGGCAAGAGACAAAAAGCATATGAGATTTGTTCAGAGAGCAAGTCAAACTCTGAGTGTACATACTTTACCATGAAGCCATCATTGTATTTGAGTAAATGTTCAGGGGGACCCCAGTACCACAAGAGAACAGATGAGGTCAGAAGGGACCCCTGGAGATCATCTAGCCCAATTCCACTACTCAAAGTACCGAAAACTAGAGCAGGCCACTCAGGACAATGTCCAATTGGGTTCCAAGTATTTCAGAAGACGGAGACTCTGCAGCCTCCTAGGGCAACCTGTTCCAGTCTCACAGTAAAGAAGTTCTTCTTATGCCTAAATGGAATTTCTTCTATTTCAATTTGTGCCCATTGTCCATTCACCAGATACGGGTGAGTCTGGCTGTACCTTCTTTACACCCTTCTATCAAGTATATACGCACATTGACAAGATCCGTAACTACGTGCAGTTCTACCCTTTTTGTTTTCATACTACTTACAAAATTCAGCCATAAAATATTTCTACATGAGAATTCTCGTTGGCAAGAATTCTAGTTCAGTGAACAATTTAAGCTGATAAAAATCACCACCAAAGCCAACACAGAAAACTTCACCTGTCTCCTATTCTCATCCAGTTATTTGTGTTCCTGAACTGCTAATCCTTTGTGCAAGCACAAACATTTGTTCAGCCACACAGTGAAACAACTCATTCAGCTGAAAAAAAATCCACTTTTGTTATAGCACAATTATTTCTCCGACCCAGTTCACTCTTGGTCTTCATGAGGGATACCCACCTGGCCTTCCTCTAAAAACCATTCCCTCTAGCAGTAAGATTTTATAAGCATACGTACTATCCAAAATAATTAATTTTGCCAATCACATGATGAAGCCAAAAGGAACTGAGTTAATTTTTATAAGTACACTCCATCAGTGAGGAATAAAATAAATCCACAGCAAAAATTATGCAGTCAGAATTCCAGCAGAGCATTGAGGCGTGATGTAAAAGCTCTTAGGCAACTGCACTAGTCCTCATAACAGAACGCTTTTCTAATAATGTCGCAGTACAGGCAATTTCCCATTCTGTAGGCAAGACTGAGGATAAGCTGTACAAATCCAGACCGCACACTACACAGGACAAGTCTGAGTGAATATCCTCAAAAATGAATGTTTTCTATAGCTATCAATGTTTATATAACCATACCAATAAAGAGTTAAAAATGCATGTAAAAATTTTTTTGGCAATGTCAACTCAAAAAGTATTCCTGAAATCTTTTTGCTAAGTCACCATGACCAATGAGGATGATTTTAGCACTGCATATCACAGTATCACAGTATGCTAGAGATTGGAAGGGGCCTCAAAAGATTATCTAGTCCAATCCCCCTGCTGGAGCAGGAATGCCTAGATAAGTTTACACAGGAACGTGTCCAGGTGGTTTTGAATGTCTCCAGAGAATGGCTATGAATCACTATCATTCATCCTCCTGCATCCTCAAATGAGCCTTCTGCAATCTATTCATCATCCAATGTATGTGGCTTCTCACCTGCTCTGAATTACAGTGCTGCACTACAACATTTATTCACTTTTGCACTTTCCTGCTCTTCACCAACTACTTCTTGTCTATTCTGCATCAATATTCTCTGCTCTGTTGATTTAGAAACATGACTCACGACTGCCTTCAACTTATCTCATCAGTGGTGAAACAGAGTAAGAAGTTCAGTGAGCAAAGGAGCTAAACACCTTAATTGAAGGTAAAAATGCTGCATCACTAGGATTGTACACCACCTCATATACCAGTTACTCTGTATTAGAGTATTTTATCCTTAATCCTGCAAAGGTTAAGAAAAAAAAGTAAAATCTTATTTTCTTCATAGTAGTCTACAGCCACAAACAGTTAAAATCTCAAGTATTTGTAAGAGTCAAATCCTACCTGCAAAATCAGTGTGAAAACACTTATTAGCTGGTATATTCTTTTGGCAAGTTAATTCTATCAAATTACCCTCATTCTTCCATTACACGGAAATCTTTTTTACCTGGGAGGTTGACATGCGAGAGGTATCTTGTCTGCCTGTCAAGTCAGATGACGAGATATTGACTGGGGCACCGCGATGCAATCTCATACTCACTTTCCTTTCTCGTTCCATACCAGATACTGGCCGAGGAGAGGTGTTGGCTATGAGAAAAGCTGTATTACATTTTTGCAACACAAAAGGGGATGATAACATGAACACTGGAAAAGTTAGGCTTTCCCTGTTTGCATACAAAGCTTCCACAGAGTCAAACAAGAGAAATCAAGGCTTTTGTTTTACATTCACAGAAATACAAGTAACAATTGGCAGGTAATGAATGCCTACACAATTAAAATGAAAAGCAAGCTGAAGGAAAAACAAATAAAAACCCCAAACCTTGACCAAATACAAATACCACTCAGGTATTGTAACTCTAATTTTGAATTTCCAGTGATCAGGAACAAACTGCAAATTACAATAGTCTACAAGATGCATCTATCCAGGTATTTGCTTACTTACCAGCATGTGAAGTTGGGGTAAGAGGAGTTGGAGGAGCTACATCTTGCGCTCCTCTCAGCCTGCCAGAAGCAGTGGAGGGTATTCCACGCACAGCTGGATTTCGTGTATGTCTCAATCTTTCCTCTCGTTCTCGCCTTTCACGTTCAGAATCTTCAGCCGCTCTGCTTGCCCCCTACGGGTTGACACTAGTGAACAACTTGGGGAATTACTGAACTTACAACTATATATTCAGACAAAAAACACTGAAAATAAAGAACTGCACAATCCATTAAGTTTATTAAGTTAGGTCATTAATTATTTTGGTAAAATTTCTTAAGACCTGCCATAAATTCTAAATTTTGTTCACACATCTGCTGACATAGTCTTCAAAATGCTAATGTACATGCATACTTACAGTATCTAATCACAGCTGGATACCTCCTCAGCAGTTGCAAATGACCCATGCTCAAGATCAAGGGGAGAGAAAATAGTAATTCTGCAACCTAGCCTGGTGACTGCCCCCAAGGAAGTATCTCAGAAGCCTTACACATTTAAATCCCTGTAACTCCAACTTAGTTGTCATTCAACCCCCATCTCATGGCTCTTGTATCTCCTGCCTTTCCTCATTTCCTGATCTTTTTTCCTAGACAACAGAGCTTCTGGGAGGAAAAAGGCAAGACAATCTTACAGTATCAGTTAAGACACTCAGAATTGACAGTGTAGTAGAAAAAATAAATATATATATTACAAAAAAAAAAGAGATAAATTTAGAAAGTTATGTTAGCTACTCACAAATTTCAGCATGTTCCAGTCAAACACATAGTCATAGGAGAACCCCTGTCGGTGGAAGAGGTTTCTGAATAATTGTCTTAGATAGGAATAGTCCGGTTTGTCATCAAAACGCAAAGAACGGCAGAAATTCAAGTATGTGGCAAATTCAGCTGTAATAAAAGAAAGTCTGGGTTTTTCCTTCAGCTCCACGTTTGCTTTTTTAAATTCTGAATCACAAAACAAAACCCATCACAAACCCAGCAAATAGGGAATCTCCTAAACATAAGAAAAATAATAATGACATAAGACTAGAAATCTCTTGAAGGTAACACTATAACCCATCTATTAAATCAACCCTGTAAAGGAAATTATTTGTCTATCACAGATCAGGCAAAGATGTCAGAGGACAGCAGAGAGGACCCAGTATCAGAGTTCTTTAACTGACAGTTGGCGGGGGGGAAGGGGACACACAGACAGGTTTTAAAGTACAGTTGAACAAAGAGGTTTTTTTGCCTTTCTTTGAATATATCTGAATGCCATTTATTGTGTGACATGGAAGAGCATCTCTGTTATTAAATCACATACACATTCATATCTTCTAGCTCACAAAACTCACAGAAACTAGTGGACCCATACAAATTTCCCATATGTGCCAGGCTACAATTTTAGATTTGCAACACCTGTTTTTATATGGCATACTAAATATTAGTTACACAGCAAAAACATTAATAGTCAATTCAATGGACCAAATATGATAGCAGTATCAAAATACTGGTTTTTGATTTCAAGTCTTTCCAGCTGAAATAACATATTAACGATTTACGTTAAGAAAGAAATTCTAATAAACCAACCAAGAAAAGTTGATTAGTCTTGTCTTGCTTGTTAAGCCCAGTGGAAAAACATAGTTGATGAATGTAAGGGAACATATATGAAGCAACATTTGCAACAGACTGAAGACTGTAAGTTTTCATACAACCCTAGTAAGACTCATAGTTCTTGTTATTGTACAGAAAGAGGAGAGATGTGTGAGGTGTGCTCAGCTCGCTCCCTGAAATGTCTGTACACCAATGCGCGCAGCATGGGAAATAAGCAGGAGGAGCTAGAAACCTGTGTTAAGTCAGGAGATTATGACCTGGTGGCAATTACAGAGACGCGGTGGGACAGCTCACATGACTGGAATATAGTCATGGAGGGCTATGTCCTTTTCAGGAAAGACAGGCCAGCCAGGCGGGGTGGTGGGGTTGCTCTTTATGTGCGAGAGCAGCTACAATGCATTGAGTTCTGTCCGGGGACAGATGATGAGCGAGTCGAGAGTCTGTGGGTGAGAATTAAGGGGCAGGCTGGCAGGGGCGATACTGTTGTGGGGGTCTGTTACAGGCCACCGGATCAGGGTGAGGAAGTTGACAAGGCCTTCTACAGGCAGCTGAGAGCAGCCTCACAGTCACAGGCCATGGTTGTCGTGGGGGATTTTAACTTCCCTGATGTTTGCTGGAAGGACTACTCGGCAACCCAGCCGCAGTCCAGGAGGTTCCTCCAGTGTATGGGTGATAACTTCCTCATGCAAATGGTGGATGAGCCAACCAGGAGAGGTGTGCTGCTCGATCTTATCCTCACTAACAAGGAGGGTCTGGTCAAAGGAGTGAAGTTTGAGGGCTGCTTTGGTTGCAGCGACCACGAGATGGTGGAATTCAGGATCTTGTGTGGTAGGGCCAGTAGAATAGCAAGTAGAATTGCAACCCTGGACTTTAGCAGGGCAAACTTTGGCCTCTTCAAGCAATTGCTAGGGGAAATTCCATGGGCTAGGCTGCTTGAAGGTAAAGGGGTCCAAGATAGTTGGTTGATGTTCAAGGACTGCTTTTTCCGAGCTCAAGATCAGAGCATCCCGACACGTAGGAAGTCAAGGAAGAGGGTCAGGAGACCTGCGTGGCCAAATAGGGAATTGCTGGGTATGCTAAAGTGGAAGAGGAGAGTTTACAGGTCATGAAAGGAAGGGCTGGCCACTTGGGAGGAATATAAGGCTGCTGCTAGAGGATGTAGGAAAGCCGCTAGGATGACTAAGGCCTCCTTAGAATTGAAGCTGGCAAGAAGGGTCAAGGACAACAGAAAGAGCTTTTTCAAATACATGGCAGATAAAACTAACACCAGAGGCAATGTAGGCCCACTGATGAACGGGGCGGGTGCCCTGGTGACAGAAGATACAGAGATGGCAGAGTTACTGAATGCCTTCTTTGTCTCTGTCTACTCTGCCGGAGGCAGTCCTGAAGAGCCCTGTACCGCTGAGACCTCAGATGAAGACAGGTCAACGGAGCGGTTTGCCTTAGTCGATGAGGAATGGGTTAGAGACCAGTTGAGCAATCTGGACATCCATAAATCCATGGGTCCAGATGGGATGCACCCGTGGGTGCTGAGGGAACTGGCAGAGGTCATTGCTAGACCGCTCTCCATCATCTTTACCAAGTCTTGGGAAATGGGAGAGGTGCCTGAGGACTGGAGGAAAGCAAATGTCACTCCCGTCTTCAAGAAGAGCAAGAAGGAGGACCCGGGTAACTATAGACCAGTCAGCCTCACCTCCATCCCTGGTAAAGTAATGGAACACCTTGTCCTTGGTGCCATCTTAAGGCATATCAAGGATAAGAGGATTATGAGGGGCAGTCAACATGGCTTCACCAAGGGGAAGTCATGCTTGACCAATCTTGTAGCCGTTTATGAGGAAATAACACAGTGGATGGAAGATGGCAGAGCGGTGAATGTGGTCTACCTTGACTTCAGCAAAGCATTTGACACAGTCTCCCACAGCATCCTCGCAGCTAAATTGAGGAAGTGTGGTCTGGATGATCGGGTAGTGAGGTGGACTGTGAACTGGCTGAAGGAGAGAAGCCAGAGAGTTGTAGTCTATGGGGCAGAGTCTAGCTGGAGGCCTGTATCTAGTGGAGTGCCTCGAGGGTCGGTACTGGGACCAGTATTATTTAATATATTAATCAATGATTTAGATGAGGGAATTGAGTGTACTATCAGCAAGTTTGCTGATGACACTAAGCTGGGAGGGGTGGCCGACACGCCAGAAGGCTGTGCTGCCATTCAGCAAGACCTGGACAGGCTGGAGAGTTGGGCAGGGAATAACTTGATGAAATATAACAAGGGAAAGTGTAGAGTCCTGCATCTGGGCAGGAACAACCCCAGGTTCCAGTATAGGTTGGGGAACGACCTGTTAGAGAGCAGTGTAGGGGAGAGGGACCTGGGGGTCCTAGTGGACGACAGGGTGACCATGAGCCGACACTGTGCCCTTGTGACCAAGAAGGCCAATGGCATCCTGGGGTGTATTAGAAGGGGGGTGGTCAGTAGGTCGAGAGAGGTCCTCCTTCCCCTCTACTCTGCCCTGGTGAGACCTCATCTGGAATACTGTGTCCAGTTCTGGGCCCCTCAGTTTAAGGACAGGGACCTGCTGGAGAGAGTCCAGCGCAGGGCAACTAGGATGATTAAGGGAGTGGAGCATCTCCCTTATGAGGAAAGACTGAGGGAGCTGGGTCTCTATAGTTTGGAGAAGAGGAGATTGAGGGGTGACCTTATTAGTGTATATAAATATATAAAGGGGGAGTGTCATGAGGATGGAGCCAGGCTCTTCTCAGTGGCAAACAATGATAGGACAAGGGGCAATGGGTACAAACTGGAACACAAGAGGTTCCACTTAAACTTGAGAAGAAACTTCTTCTCAGTGAGGGTGACGGAACACTGGAACAGGCTGCCCAGTGAGGTTGTGAAGTCTCCTTCTCTGGAGACATTCAAAACCCGCCTGGACACGTTCCTGTGTAACCTTATCTAGGTGTTCCTGCTCCAGCAGGGGGATTGGACTAGATGATCTTTTGAGGTCCCTTCCAATCTCTAACATACTGTGATACTGTGAGATGGAACTCTCATTAAAGATGAACAATATTTTCTGATGGCAGATAATGTTACAAAGTTTTAAAACAGATTCAAGTACTGTTTTGCAGGGCTCAAAATTCATACTCATTATTACCAAATCTGAGAAACAGAACAGCTTTTAGTTATGATACTAGGATATAGGAGGGTTTCTTATGTCTCTTTCAGATGCTCACCATCAACAGGTCAACCTGGATGAACCTTCCCAAGTGCAACAACTGAAACAGGTAAGAGGTGTATCTGACTCTACAATCTGATTCACCCAAAAAACAGTACCCTTGCATATGAAGAAATAAAGTTATTTATCAGAGTTACCCAGTCAGCCCAGACACGTGCACACAACACAGCACAACTCAGATGCATCAAGCACCCTTTCACTTGAGGGCACTACAATGATTGTTTACTAATCATTCAGACAATGGATAATTAGAAATGGTACAGGAACACAAAGATCAAAGTCTCAAAACCAAAGTCTTTATCCCAGATGTGCCCAATCATGAAGGGAGGGGAACAAAAAAAAGTGTGGGGGAGAAGAGAGAAGTAAAAAGATAGGTAGAATTCAATATAAAGAAGAAATACTGCTAAAACATAAACATGTAGGCCTAATGCCACAAAAGAGTAACTTACAAGGATATCCTTTACACAAAACCTCAATGGGTGTAGACATTTTCTTTTCACTGATACGTTCGTATTTCTGCCTCTTTGTTGCTGCTTTCAGTCCCTGCCAGGGGAGGGAGCCCAGGTTAAAATACATCAGTACATAGCCCAAGGACTCCAAGTCATCTCTGCGAGATTGCTCTACAACAGCATAAAAAAGTGGACTCATTAGGTTTCATTTTCTACTGGAAATGCAAGACTATGCAACAAGACTGTCATAAAAACTCTTAGAAAAAACTATGCCCATGATAAACTCATCCAGTAGAAGAAAAAGCCTATTAGTACAAGAAAAACCCTCAGAGTTATTAAAAAAAAGACTATCAGTACAAGATAGGCTTGTATTAAAAAGTCTATCAGCATTAAAAAGCCTATCAGTACATGAAAAACCCTCAGAGTTATTAAAAAAAATGTGTGCATTCCTGTGGATTACAAACTGACCAAATCCCACCCAACCAAGAGATACAAGGCCAAGCATGCTACACTGCTAGTGCCAGAAATAGGGACTTTCTTCTATGCCTCCATTAAACAACTTTTTTTTTTTATTTGCAGTAAAATTATGTGCATTAACATTTTTAAAGTTTCTATTTATTGCTTTCCCCAGCTCACCAATTCCAAGATGAGTGTTGATGGATGCATAACGAGCAGTTCCTGTTAAGTTTTTATTTTCACGATATGGAATATGTTGGTGAGTTCGTGCATCTCGATACTTCTTTGCTAGTCCAAAGTCTATTATGTAGACAAGATTGCCTTTCTTCCCCAGGCCCATCAAGAAGTTATCTGGCTTCACATCTCGGTGGATGAAGTTCTTAGAGTGAATATATTCAATTCGACTAATCTGGGGGGGGGGGAAATAAAAAAAAATCGTTGTTAAGAGACCAGGCATATACTTTTTTCTCATAAAAACACTAGAAACTGTCTAAATGATAAGAGGTAAATAAACTTTTTATTGTAAACTGTAAGAGCATTAAAGAGAATGTAATTTAGAAAACAACAGATAAATTTTCTCACTGTGTCTGTTTCACATTTGTTTCCAAAAATTTGTTTTGGGAATTTGTGGTTGAGCAATGAAAACACCTGGTGGTCATTTTTTAAAAAGCAATTAAGACTTGTAATTACATTTGAGGGGGCATTTTATATTTACAGAAACAAAACTAATTTTGAGTCTCTTCTCTAATTATACAGCCTATTTGCCTGTAAATTACAAAATAAAACACAGTTGGTTGTGATCTGAAGAAATTCTAATATCCCACCACAGTGTAGTACCAAGATCAACAAAGCAGCTTCTTACCATTTGGTCAGCAAGTAATAGAACTGTCTTGAGACTAAATTTTCTTGAACAAAAATTGAAGAGATCTTCAAGACTCGGTCCCAACAGCTCCATCACCATTACATTGTAGTCCCCTTCAGCTCCACACCACTTAATTGTGGGAATGCCCACTAGAAAAAAGGAAACTGTGTAACAATTTGATTCATACAATCCATGCACACATCTTCAAGGCTCTTAAGATGAATTCTAGGAGGGTCACAGCTGTGAATGTTTGTATTTACAGGGAGGCTTAACATTTTATGCTACCTTCAGCCATTACAAAATGAATGGTTTAATAATTTCACAGCAAAACCAATAAAAAATTACAGAAACAGAGGTCTAAAATTAGCCTTTTTCCCCTTCCCTGGAAAGTCCTCAGTCTTTGTGCTTAGCTTGTAAATTGAAAGTACTTAAGTGTTTTCTCTGGATTTGAACCATAAGCATTTTACAAGTATTACTACTCACATAGTCTCAAAAATGGCAATAAAAAGCAAATTAGAAATCTGAAAAAAACCCACACTGACAAAACACTAAATATTATCACTGAAGAAGGCCTCATAAATTAACCGCTTAGTTTCAAAGCTCACAAGATCACCATAAAATACCTTTCCCTTCCATTTCAGTTTGCAATGAATTTTCACCTTTGCTCCATACTCTTTGACTTTCCTCCAGTTCCAGTGTATTTGCTGTTTGGTGAATCTCTACCAAAGCAGCATTGTTTGAGATGTCTTCTACGTTCAGCTTGAGAGGGGCAAAATTAGCCCTGCTTTATGGGCTAACTGCATTTATGGGCTAACGTTACTGCTAATTGCAAAACTGCAGAATTGGTCAAACATTCCGAATTAAACCTGCATGTAGGCAGCCTTATTCAGAATTTGAAATCCACTCACCTTGAGTTAATTTTATGTATTTTGGAAGTGAAATGGTACAATTCACTCATGTGAAACTCTGTTTACTTGATATGAATTATTTTTTCCCAAATTCCCTTCACAGAGAAATCCTTAGTCAGATGGAAACTTAACCTTTTGCTACCTGTCTTCACAGCATCCATCCTCAGAAAGAACCCACCACCATGGCTTTAGTAAGTCCATAAAAGAAGCATTTTACTCTGTGAAAGCTATTCGGATTACAAGCAGGTGGCAACTGCATGAAGCAGGAATTAAAAAGTAACTAAATGCAAACACACATTATCATCCATTTCTACAAGTATGATTACTGTACTTTGCATCTGAGAAATATAGTGTGGAATGTAGTCTTTATGCAAAATATGGCCTCATTTAGGAAGAATTCAAGTAACTACAAAATAAAAGCAAAACTTCACTACACCAAGTTTATATGCCAGAACTACATTTGCAGAACTTCAAAATATACCAGTGAGTTATCCTAGTGGAGTATCATGCAGTAGTTAAGAAACTGCTTCACTCTTATTCTCTACTAATGCTATTTTGTCTTACAATTCCTGCAACAAGGAAGTTATTTTTAACTCATAAGAAAGAATACTAACATATATAACAAAAATTAATCTGAACTTGCTCAGTTTATCATTCAGCTGCTATAATATGCAAGTCAGGTTAAACACTCCAGAGCAGTGGTTACTATCTTTTACTGACCCATGAGAAACAAAAACCAACTAGTGTACTGCCAAACAGGACCAAACTTTGTTCCACATTGCTCGAGGTTTTCACTTTTTAAAATATTCAGGGACCATGAGCAACAGTGAAGGATTTTAACAGTTATAAAATTTGACAGCCATGGATTTGGAACTGCTACCCCACACTGCTTGCAAAATAGCTGAGGTACTGCTTCACCCACCTTGCAACCTATCCTACCTTCTCCTTGTGCGTTAAAAGAGATCTTAATTATTAAATACTTCCAGGTGGCAGATAAATCAAAGCTATAAAATCAGTTAAAGCTCTGAAGAAGGAAAATAACTTGCTTGCCTCCACCCTGCATCATTTTGTAGATTTTACTCTCGATGTGAAGCTGAGGATGTTTAGTTTTCACACATTCCAACTTAATGGCAACCTCCTCTCCAGCAGCAATATCAGTTCCTAAAACCAGAAGAATTTAAAACATAAGTCAAAATACTTTTAAAATTGATTTCCTTTGTCAAGACTGAAACAAAACAAATACTAGGAAACTACTACTCAATGGCAAACATCCAGAGATTAAGTACTTTCAATCATGATTATCTAAAAGTGCTTCTGAAGTCTTACAGATTCTCTCCAACAGATTAGCATCTGAAAAGACAATTAACCACTAGCACAGGAAGCCAAAACTGCTGCTATTCCATCAAAAACAAAAAACCCACCCCCCAAAAAAAAAACCAAAAATAACCAACCCCAAACAAGCAATACCAAACAAAACCCCACCAAAAAAAACAACAAAATAATAATTTTTAGAAATAAAAAAAACAAACACCAAACCACAAAACCAAACCAAACCAACAAATAAGTGCATCTTTTGAGAGGTGTCTTTCCACTTCTAGTTTGTGGTGTAAGTGCTCAGAATTAATGTTTACAGGTGTGGCATGTAACCCTGCCAACCTAAGGAATGCTAGGAATTCAGATCACCTCCTCTTACATCTTGGAAACAGAGACTACAACTTCTCTAAATCTCAATATACTCCAGATGTATTCTGTCACCTTATGATTTCATCCTTGGAGGCAGGTTATCTAGAACCAATAATGTGTCCTCTCAAAAAAACCCCACTTTTTTACATCTCATTAAACTCTTAAGGAATCAAGTTACTGAAAAATCGGCTAACCTGTTCACTTTCAAAGTTTAAGTGTATGCAGGGAAAAACTGTCATTCTTAAGGAGAAACACTGAGTCAAGAAAATATGTACTCTCACAGCCAAGCAACTTAGGAACTACAAGAAAACAGGAATTTGTAAAAGGTGATGCAAGACACTTTTCAGACATATTGCCAAGTCTCTACTTTCAGAATTTGACTTTCTCTTTTCTGCATTACCTCATAATTTAGGATGACATGAAGTACAACAAACCTGCTCTTTGTTCTGATCCACACTCTTATAAGCTTAACTTGAGGTCTACTAGTTTTTGTTTGGGAAGAAACAGCAAATAATCATTTTGTACTCACTGTCTCCATTATGTTCAGGGTTTCAGAGACTTCTACCCTACCTCACTTTCCCCTACCTCTTCAGAGTTCAACAACTCTGGTCATTCTTCGTACAGAAGTAATTTTTTATTACCCCTAACTGTTCCCATTTCACTTATCCATACCTTTTAAAGTTCTATAATGCCCTTTAAGTCACAAAATGCAATTAAGACAGCGCTACACATTTTTTCTGCCTGTTTACCTGCTTTTTTCTGCATATGCTTTTCTTTGACCATTACAGAGTAGTGAGCTAACATATTCATCAGCTGAAACAAGGACACTTATTATAACTGCAAAATACTGTTCCCCAGATTAAGGAGCTACTTCAGTGCTTTATAGCCTTTGTCAGGCTAAAAAAGACTGGCTCAGAATCGGTGTGATTTCACTTTGCAAGGAACTGACCATGCATAGATTACCTACTGAGTTCACACAAGACTTCACTTTTCTTAGGTAAATAAAGTACCTTTCTGTGTGTGCACACAGGCGAGTATGAAGGTGGTGTTGCTGGTACAGTTGCGCTGTTCTGACAACACCAAGGTCAATATTTGTTAGACATTTCCCAAGACACCTTACCAAATGAACCAAACCAACAAACCAAATGAAACTCACTCTGGGTACAATAAACACAACTCAAGGTGAACACATATGGAAGACAAAAAGAAAAATAAGGCTGTACATATATATATATCTGTCTTGTATGACTCTTTTGCAACTGGCATAATAACTGGCAGGATCCCCCACTGCTACTTTGGTTATATATAGCACAGTAGCAGCCAACTGGAAGCTCTTCAATCTGTAATTTAAGGTTTTCATATTTTATAAATATATTATTTTGGTGAACTTTAAATGAGCTATGGTGCACATCAATCCAGAAAACATGAAAGGGCAGATCAACAATACGAGGGGGAAGGCATTTATCTTCTGATCTAATACTGACTTTGCCACCCCAAACAAAGATCTTCATTTTGAACCCCAGAACTCTGGACCTCTCTTGCTTATCCCTACATTCAGTACCTATTCTCCCAAATCCCACAGTAGACAAGATCAGGGAAAGCATGGACCAAAGACATTATTATCTGATAGGTGAGCAGCAGAAAACATGGTCTTTTGGGGGTTTTAGTTTGTTCTTTTGTTTTTCAAAAACTTTTCTGATCCAAAACCAACACAAACTGTTGCCCAAGTATACTAAAAGACGTATTTCTTTATAAACCGCTGCACACTTCTGTGTTTGATTAGGGCAAAAACTGCACAGAGGATCAAGACCTGTATCAAGTCTATATTGGTACACCCGTATTGGTATCCAATCTGCTCAACATAGTATTAAACCATTACATGACAAACCATGGTCTTGACCTAGTAGGTAATTTCATAGGATAGTTCCTCTTCCCAAGTCTTTACCACTCAAGTTGGCCAAGAACCCTTACCCTGAACTCTGCTTCTGTATAAATCCTCTCCTTCAAGACAAGAGACTTCATATTAAAATAGTGAAATTAAAATATTTGAGTCAAGCAAAAGTGATGAGACAAAAATACAAATAATTTTTCCAAGCAATCCATTACTTGCCACCAAGTAAGGACTTCTGCCCCACTTAAACCCTGGGACAAAATTTCTGAAGTAACTCTGTAGCCACCAAAAGCTTAGCTTCCTTTAAGGAAAACATAGTAGTATCTGTGAAGGAGCAGGAAGCATTACTGCAACAATGACCACAATGAAAAAGTAGTAACAAGGAGTGTAATTAGAGCTCACCATCTGTAAATGTAAAAAGAAGTATAGAGTTGTGACAGTATTTTCTTTTAAACTGCAAAATTCCAATTTACTTGGAATTGTGAAATCCTCTACCATAAGGAAAGCCTTGGAAATTATTTTAATGAGCTTACAACCCAAAACTAATTCTTAAGAAAAATACATACACAATGCAAAGTACATGAAAACACAGCAACTGCAATGTCCTTAATGACCCATATCTATTTGACCTGACAGACTTATCAACAAATGCTTACTCTGATCCCATCGCCCATTTTTCATCATACTGTTTAGAGTATCTGGGAATCCATTTCCTTCATATCTTTTCTGCAGGGTAACTTCAGAAGATGCAGGTACACTAAATTCCTAAATTTTATTTTAAGTTGTCCATGCTCCTTTATTTACAATAGTGCCTTACCTTTCAAATTCCTGTCCCACAGACCCTGCCATTATAAGTGAACAAAGCTGGGGCCATTCAGAATTCCAGAAGATGTATTTTGAGGTTTGAAGAAGAATATAAGAGAATATGAAAAAAATGTGACAACAACAACGGAGTCATCAGCTCCATAGGGATAAAGAAGTAAAAAAGGGAAAAGTCTGTCCCCTCTACTCTGGAATGTCTTCTACATCCTTGTAGCTGCATAAAACCCCCAAACATATGGGACCAAAACCAGGCAAAAATAATAAATTCTTTCTTTTTAAAGCATAAAGCCAAGGTAGAGATCTACACTGAAGTAATCTGTTAAAATAGCAAGGCCTATCAGAAGACATGTACTTAGAAAAACCTCATGACATCTAAAAGAATTTTTGTGAGTTATTTTAAAGCACTTATGCCCTACCATCTGAACAACCAAACAGAAAATTTTAATAAATCCCAACATTTCATTATGACAAAAAGCACAGATTTTAAAGACCTCTGTTTTACAAGATAATGGCAGGAAAACCAAATCGCCTCTTCAAAAGACTTCAGTTATTGAGGCATGGTCATTTCCCCTGGAAAAAGAAACCCAGACCAACTGCTGGATCTTCAAAGCATGTAACTCTCTGCTAACTTCTGACTCGGGAATGACATCTGCAGCAAGCCCTAAATGTAAACCCATACCAGCTACTTCGAGATAAAAAGATGTCATAAACTGCAAAATGCAGCATGGCAATAGTACTAATGCACAGAGAATATTTATTTCCTGTGCAACTTTACTGGTGTGGGCTGTAAGCAATGAAGTGACCCAAAAAATATTTTTTTTTACTTGCATTTTAAATTTATACTATAATGTAATCTGACTTACCTGAGCAGTAGTAAAATACTAAAGGAAGGTTCTCAAATCATTTTAAGATTTTTCTAATTCTAACTGCTGTCTTAATCTCCACTCAAAATCCCAATGACAGCTAATGAGGATTTCTGCATAAGTATTATCACTGTATTTCTCACAAAAGTCTTCAATCTTTTATGCATGCATTGCAGAGAGAAAGATTAATGTTCTCTGCCTCTATACAACACACCTTCAGCTAAAACCGTGGATTTTTTTAGCAGGTATATGATCTGTATTACAGATAACCAGTATTTCATTATCCGTAGACAAGCACCTTTACCTAACAAACTAGTTTGGAATGTGAGCTGTGCACTGCAACGTGAAGCATTGCTGTCTAGGAAGCAGAAACACCTGTCATACTGTCAAACATACCACATGTTAGCTAAAGACATGTTTTTACCCTCCAGATGTGTGCAGTTAACATAACCTTAGCCCCTGCAAGTTCCTTCCCTGCCTTTTTGACTTGCTTTTTAAAGTTGGCACAGTTTTCAAAAGCGTAGTACTGGTTTCTATGTACAGGAATTAAAATGCATTTCTCTGGATTTAACCCATTTCTTGTGGTTTAAGACTTTGCAGAATATATTATTTTATAAATACTTGCTTTCAAAACTTGTTCCCACCACTGCTTGTCATAATCACAATCAGGGAGCCATTATGATAGAGGGCCACACAAATGGTCAGGCAAAGACAATGCCAACCCTGAAAAATTTACAATTGCATAGAAATCACAGTACCAGAAGGTACTTGCAATAAGGTATCAGGGCAACATTAAAGCAACAGGATAGCCAACCTGATGATTCTTGGAAGGATTTGAAGATTTGACTGAAGGTTTCTTTAACTTCAACCTCGTCATCTACAGTTGTGTAATTGTTTTTTTTTTTTTTTTTTTTTTTTTTTTGTTAGGCCTCACAGGAGAAAAGAACATTCCTGTAACAGCAGTTCTTCCTAGACCACTGCAGTGATGGTTAACACCAGTGCATGTTCCTTTCCCAAGCTATTTTTCTGAACGTGGTGGGTTTGGGGTTTTGAGGGGTTTGCTTTGTGTTGGGTTGTTTGGTTTGCTTGCTTGTTTGTTTTCCAAACGAAGGGATTTATACCCTTAGCCCGATTTTACAGATGAGAAGATTAATGATACCCAAGGTCACAAGACAACAACGGGAAGTGGTGGCTAAATAAGCTAGAATTCCCGATTTCCACATTATCCAAACTAGGACATGATGCCAACGAAACATTAAACTGTTACTACTGTACAAACAGAAAGGTACTTCATATCAAAGGGCATTTTTTGGTCAGTAGTGCGGCCCGAACTCCAGCCGGAGTGAAATGAGGGCCTGGAGGTTGCCCCCAGCCCAGCCGCGCCGGGGCTGGCAGCGGGTACAGCAGTGAGCAGCACCCATCACAGCCCGACCCCTGACGTTCTCCACAAACCTGCCAGATACATCCCCAGCAAGCCAGCCTCCTTACCCAAGTAGATGTCCCCAAAGGAGCCACTCCCGATCTTCCGGCCCAGACGGTAGCGGTTCCCAACCCTCAGCTCCATGGCGGCAACCTGGTTTGTCCGCGACCTGCTTCTGTTGCCCTGCCCGGCCTGCCGGCTCGCGCTCTGCTGCCTTACAGCCCTGCGGTTCCTGATGCCATCGTGGCTTTGGGTTTTCCGCTTGAGCTAGCGAGAAACGCAGTCGCCGCCGCCACAGCTCCCGGGGTGGATGGCCTCGGATTCCACTCAGCACTAACTACTCACTCCCCTCGGCTCCAAACCGCCATATTGCGTGACCTCACTTCCTTAGCAACGGGGGCGTGATCGCGGGCTGATGGGGGCGGGAGGGATGCCTCGCTCGGCTCAGGGATGTGCCGGAGAGTGGTTCCGCCTCACCTCTCCTCCCTTGTCGCGCTCAGGCGTCTCTGTGGGACGCTCGGCTCCAATACGACGGGGTTTTCGCGGCGGAACCGGCTGCGGCACTGACTGCTACCCGGCCACCCGTCACCCATGGGAAAAATGGGTGAGAAACAGCCAAAAATGGCTTAAAAGAGCTAGAAATAGGGAAAAATGGGTTGCAAATCGGAAAAACGGGTCCCTCTGGGTCCCTACTGGGCTCTATAGGGCACTCACCCGTCGGTGGCCTCTGCCACCGCCGCCACTTTCCCCGCAAGCGCCATTGAGAGCGCTTGGAGCCTCTGCCCCGGGAGGCCACTGGGGGCAATGGGAGGTCCTCGGGGGGGACCGGGAGGTAATTTGAAGCAATGGCGGGGTAATAGGGAGTTAATAAAGGGTAATGGGGGTCAACGGTGGGGGAATGGGGTTAATAGGGGGTAATGGGAAGCACTGGGGAGTAGTAGGGGGGTAATGGGAGGCATCGGCTCCTCTCAGAGCTAAACTTGTCTGGACTGGGCTAAATGGACTGTCCTTAAGTGGTCTAAACTGGGCTGGACAGAGCTGGGCTGGACTGGACTGAGCTGGGCTAATCTGTGCTAAAGAGAGCTGCACTGGGCTGGAATGGGCTAAACTGGGTTAAATGGTTAATGGGACCTCACAGCAGCCTTCCTGTATCTGAAGGGGAGCTATAGGGATGCTGGGGATGGATTATTCATTAGGGACTGTAGTGACAGGACACGGGGTAACGGGTTAAAACTTAAACAGGGGAAGTTTAGATTGGATATAAGGAGGAAATTCTTTCCTGTTAGGGTGGTGAGGCACTGGAATAGAATGCCCAGGGAGGTTGTGAATGCTCCATCCCTGACAATGTTCAAGACCAGGCTGAACGAGGCCTTGGGTGATATGGTTTAGTGTGAAGTGTCCCTGCCCATGGCAAGGGGGTTAGAATTTGATGAATTTAAGGTTTTATCCAGCCCTTAATATTCTATGATTCTATAACAGTGCCAGAGCACACCCTTACCTCAGCAAGTGCCATTTCCCTCTCCTGTCATTTTACTACTCATCCACTACCCTGCATAGGTTTTCCATGCCTTTATTCTAATGTGTACACCCCCTGGAAAACACTAAGAAGAAAAATTAATTATAGCTTTATGAAAAAGATAACACCCTGAAATAAATTAGCTACTTAGATGTTCTAAGCATGGCTCACCTTAGCTAAACCACCTGAATGTCTTTTTTTAGTTAGAAAGTGAGAGTGGGTCTGAGCCAAGGAGTCTGTGTTAGTCTCAGTGTGAGACTTGCATGGATGAGTGAGGCAGTCAAAGCCAGATTGAGCCTAAGTCTGAGCTAGAATGCCTGTGCAGTTTAAACATATGAGTCTGAGCCACTCTGTGTGGAAATAAGCTTCTGTGAGTCTGAACCCCAGAACCGGAAATAAAAAAAGCTCTACAGATTCAGAAACCCAACATAATTCTCAGCCTGACTTCATAAAATTGAAGTTATGCAGTCTGTGAGTTTTGAATGTAAACCTAAAGGACAAAAAAGAAACCAAAAATTTAAAAGCCAGAGATAAGGCAATAAAGCAAAATCCAAGCAAAACCAACCCAGCTGTCCCTTGTCAGGCTGCTTTTACCCCAGGTAGTGATTGCCACCACCCCTGAGCCAGGGCATTGAGGGAGGGGCTGTGGGTAGGGCCTGGGATATATAAGACACCCTAAGCTTCCAAACAGGGGGCTTCTTTTGGGTTTGTCTTTTATCAAGGTGAGGTGTTTGGGGTGTTTTGAGGTTTTTATGCTTTGTCTTTTATTTTTTGTTTTGTTTTTTGAGTTCTTTGAAATGCTTTTTTCTGAACTAAAGTTTTTAAGTTTTGCTAGTACTCATGCGGGCGTGATGCTAACCAACTTTTTTTGTGCCGTGGATTTATTTAGGCTGCTGTGGTTTTTAGTGCTTTTAGTCGGAGTCCGGGCCGCGCATGCGCAGTAGCGTCCCGGAGTCGCACATGCGCAGTACCCTCCCGGGTCCGCGCATGCGCAGTAGCGCACCGACTCAGCGCATGCGCAGTAGCGCACAGGTCCGCGCATGCGCAGTAGCGCAGCGGGTCCGCGCATGCGCAGTATCGCACCGGGTACGTGCATGCGCAGCAGCGTCCCGCACTCGCGCATGCGCAGTAGCCCACCGGGTCCGCGCATGCGCAGTAGCGTCCAGGACTGGCGCATGCGCAGTAGCGTCTCGGGTCCGCGCATGCGCAGTGGTGCACCGGTCCGCGCATGCGCAGTAGCCCACCGGGTCCGCGCATGCGCAGTAGCGCACCGGGTCCGCGCATGCGCAGTAGCGTATCGGGCCCGCGCATGCGCAGTAGCGTTTCGGGCCAGCGCATGCGCAGTGGCGATCCGAGTCCGCGCATGCGCAGTAGCGATCCGGCTCCGCGCATGCGCAGTAGCGATCCGGGTCCGCGCATGCGCAGTAGCGATCCGGGTCCGCGCATGCGCAGTACCGATTCGGGTCCGCGCATGCGCAGTAGCGATCCGGCTCCGCGCATGCGCAGTAGCGATCCGAGTCCGCGCATGCGCAGTACCGATTCGGGGCCGCGCATGCGCAGTAGCGATTCGGGTCAGCGCATGCGCAGTAGCGATCCGGCTCCGCGCATGCGCAGTAGCGATCCGAGTCCGCGCATGCGCAGTACCGATTCGGGGCCGCGCATGCGCAGTAGCGAATCGGGTCCGCGCATGCGCAGTAGCGATCCGGCTCCGCGCATGCGCAGTAGATACCCGGGTCCGCGCATGCGCGGTAGCGATCCGGACCCGCGCATGCGCAGTAGCGATCCGGGTCCGCGCATGCGCAGTAGCGATTCGGTTCCGCGCATGCGCAGTAGATACCCGGTTCCGCGCATGCGCAGTAGCGATCCGGGTCCGCGCATGCGCAGTAGCGATTCGGTTCCGCGCATGCGCAGTAGATACCCGGTTCCGCGCATGCGCAGTAGCGATCCGGGTCCGCGCATGCGCAGTAGCGATCCGGCTCCGCGCATGCGCAGTAGATACCCGGTTCCGCGCATGCGCAGTAGCGATTCGGGTATGCGCATGCGCAGTAGCGATCCGAGTCCGCGCATGCGCAGTAGCGATCCGAGTCCGCGCATGCGCAGTAGCGATCCGAGTCCGCGCATGCGCAGTAACGATTCGGGTCCGCGCATGCGCAGTAGCGATCCGGCTCCGCGCATGCGCAGTAGCGATCCGGGTCCGCGCATGCGCAGTAGCGATTCGGGGCCGCGCATGCGCAGTAGCGATCCGGCTCCGCGCATGCGCAGTAGCGATCCGGGTCCGCGCATGCGCAGTACCGATTCGGGTCCGCGCATGCGCAGTAGCGATTCGGGTCCGCGCATGCGCAGTAGCGGTTCGGGCCCGCGCATGCGCAGTAGCGGTCCGGCTCCGCGCATGCGCAGTAGCGGTCCGGGTCCGCGCATGCGCAGTGTCGTTTCGGGTCCGCGCATGCGCAGTAGCGATCCGGGTCCGCGCATGCGCAGTAGCGATCCGGGTCCGCGCATGCGCAGTAGCGATCCGGGTCCGCGCATGCGCAGTAGATACCCGGTTCCGCGCATGCGCAGTAGCGATTCGGGTATGCGCATGCGCAGTAGCGATCCGGCTCCGCGCATGCGCAGTAGCGATCCGGTTCCGCGCATGCGCAGTAGATACCCGGTTCCGCGCATGCGCAGTAGCGATTCGGGTATGCGCATGCGCAGTAGCGATCCGGCTCCGCGCATGCGCAGTAGCGATCCGGTTCCGCGCATGCGCAGTAGATACCCGGTTCCGCGCATGCGCAGTAGATACCCGGTTCCGCGCATGCGCAGTAGCGATCCGGGTCCGCGCATGCGCAGTAGCGATTCGGGGCCGCGCATGCGCAGTAGCGATCCGGCTCCGCGCATGCGCAGTAGCGATCCGGGTCCGCGCATGCGCAGTAGCGATCCGGTTCCGCGCATGCGCAGTAGCGATCCGGCTCCGCGCATGCGCAGTAGATACCCGGTTCCGCGCATGCGCAGTAGCGATTCGGGTATGCGCATGCGCAGTAGCGATCCGGCTCCGCGCATGCGCAGTAGCGATCCGAGTCCGCGCATGCGCAGTACCGATTCGGGGCCGCGCATGCGCAGTAGCGATCCGGCTCCGCGCATGCGCAGTAGCGATCCCGGTTCGCGCATGCGCAGTAGCTACCCGGGTCCGCGCATGCGCAGCAGCGATCCGAGCCCGCGCATGCGCAGTAGCTACCCGGGCACGCACATGCGCAGTAGCGACCCGGGTCCGCGCATGCGCAGTAGATTTTCGGGTCCGCGCATGCGCAGTAGATTAGTTGGGGGCATATGCAGGGCTCTGGGCGGGAATGGGAGGTGTGGCTAAATTGGAGGCACGGCCAGGGATCTGGGCGGGATTGGGAAGTGTGGCCAGGGCAAAAGGCCCTGAGTGTGCCCAAGCTGAGGGCATCGCTCCAGGAGGGCAGGGCCACGGTCAGTGACATCTCCTTTGCAAGGAATGTGGGTAGGGCTAGCGCGGGTGTGAGGGGCGTGGCCAGGGTCACCACCCAAGTAGATCACATGATAGGGTGGGTGGAGCTGCTGGGAGGACTGCATCAGGCCTGAGGTGCAACCATGGGGGCCTCTGCACACACTCCCAGGCCTAGCCCCACCCCACAGCAGACCCCACCCACCCCCTCCCCCTTTCTTAGACCACACCTCCACACCTCACTAGCCCCACCCCCAGCCCAGAGCACACCTGCACGAGAGTCCACACCCCTTCTCACACCTTGGGCTAGCCCAACAGAGGCCTCCTCACCTCCTGCCCCCCACCCCTTAGCCACTCCCA